TCATTCTGGTGCCATTCATTTCAAGAAGATACTGGCGGGACGGAGCTCTCTATTTCCATGCCGCCAACCAGAAGTGCCCATTTTAAAGCAGAGTCTGCAGCAGTCACGTGATGAGTATAGTGCGTAGCTACCAGCTTTCTTCTCACAGAGTGGTTCTCATTCATCGGCACTTCGGAAGGTAGAAGGGTGACTGAACTCGATCGGGGCTCGAACTCCGGATCTGTCAGTTGAGTCTGATGCCCTAACCACCGAACAACCCCGGTCTGAAGCAACGTCGTGGTACATTCCACGATCAAAGGAATTAATGGTTGAGACAATGATTGCCACCCACTGGAATCGTAGCCTGCTGTTTCAGAGTTCAAAGCCGACTCGCTATCACACGGATTAGGAAATGGAACAATGGATTACTGATTATGGTTGCCGAATTGCTTATGTTAACTCTGCATTTAAATAAAGGCACTCCTGACTGACAGCATGGAGATGGACATCGGCATTCTATCACTAACTTCATGAAAGAATGATGCCAAAATGCTCCAATCATGAAAGTGTAAGGAAAATCGACTTTCCAGCGTTTCCTTCGATCCAGAATTCAATACTTGCCCGAAAACCGTAACTCAATCGGCAGCATCCGCAATTGCATGCTTCTTTCTATTTGTCATATTTTGTCCCCTGCTTCGCTGGCAGTCCAAAATATTTATTTTATCATCGCCTTTTAGTCTTGTAATTCAGCCACATGGAATTTGGAGCTACCTTCAACTGCCTATAAATAAAAGACTATGCAGTGGCGACATTCATTACTCCTATTTCTGGTAGAGTAAATCGCAGTCTGACATGTGATGTCGGGTTCTTGCACGACATTGTTTAAACTGGAGTACCTAGGGGGACGGTTCTCACTAGTTACGACAAGCTTTCAGCCGGATCTAGACAGACGTGTGAAAACGCGGTCGGCTGCAAATTGTTCAGGTTGTTTATAACGTGCTCAAATTACACAGAAAACATCGGTCATTGTTCAATGGCAACGTGTCACTAATCGGTATAAGTTCGATTCTTTCAGACTGCCTCTTCTTTCTGCATTGTTCGAATCCATATTAGGCCAGCTTTCATTTTTCCGTTCGTCAATTAAAATTATGAAGCGTCGCTTCCATTCTAATCTAATTAATTATATATTGAGTTTGTCAGCCCAAACCACTGTTTCCCTCAATTTTTACTTAGTGCTGAAGCATACAAACAGTAAGCAATACCATAGCCGAAGATTGCAGGGCAAGGATATAGAAAATTAATTGCCGTATCCTTAGTTATTTGCTAAAGCGTTTCATGCGTTTAGGTGGTCGGCCAAATGATAACTATAACCTGGGGTCTTTAACTCTTCTAATTCGTTTTAAGTAAAACTCTAAACTAGCATGCTTGCATGCCAGTACATGAATGAGATCAAGACCATTATTAAATTTCTATATGTCTTATCGATGCGCGCTGTCAACGAATCCACAAAGTCATGTTTTATGAATCTATGGATCTTCTTCAGCATAGGATCATTTACGAATTGTACCCTGATAAAGTTAGATGCTAAATCGATTAAAGCACTGGTCCTTAAAGTAAAGCAATATTTTTGCTTCCTCCTGTCACTAGCCACAGAATTGTAATCCAGCATTCTGCTATTTCCTTACAAAGGTATTATGTCAAATAGAACAGACATTTGCGTTCCTTGAACATCAAAGCTTCTGGATCTGATCTAAAACAATTATTTTAATAAATTCGTTTTTCTACTGCGCCCCTGTCGTTACAGTACTTTGTTGATCATCTGAATTAGGCACGTTTGTCCCCCGTTAGTTCTCATCATCATTTGCTTAGATATTTTGGATTCACAGATAGTGATGTAACTGCCTCCAGCCAAAGAGATAATGATGATTTTTTAACATGGCACAGTACAAATAATCGACCAGGGTTGTGAATCTCGAGATGACATTCTGCCCTTGACATATCGACTTTTTCAAGGTCGATATAGAGGCTTTCTCCTTCTCGCTTCACCTTATTTTCTATATTTTCTTTTCTGGTTCAGCCATTTTTTCTGTTTCTCTAATTCATTTACTCTATGCCCCAAACTTTCTTTTTGGTTCTCGCTGTCTCTGCCTGTCTCTTTTTTCCTTCCCTTCTTTCCTCTCTCTCTGAATGTTAACCTCTGTTCACCTGAATCTTTATCTCTCCCTCTCCTTCTCACTCTCTACGCCTCTTTTCTGTCCGCCTGTCTTTCACTGTCGTGCTCTCTATGGCCATCTCCTTCTCTCTGCCGCTTGTCTAATTTTGTCCCTCTGACTGTGTCTCCATTTCTCTTCGTCTCTAACTGGTTTTGATTGCCTCTGTTTTTGTCTGTCGTTGCTGCTGTCTCTGTCTCTCGGTGTCTCGCGCCGGCTCTGTTTTTGTCAGTCTCACCGTCTTTGTTTGTCTACCTTTCTCTCTGTCTCCGTCTTTCTCTGTATGCCTGATTTTCTTCTTCCTTCCATCTATCTATGTTTATCAGCCTTTCTATCTCTCATATTTCCTAAATGATCTTTCCTTCTATCTGCACCCTTATTGGTCAATTTATGTGATTGTTTATCTTTATGTATGCAACAATTGCTTGCTCATTTTGATTCTCTCACTCACTCTGCTTCATTCTCTCTCTCTCTCTCTCACCCTGTACTGTTGTCTGTGTTTGCGCGACTCTCTTTCTTCTCTTGATTTCCACCTACTTTCCTACATGTATCTCTGTCTATCTGTTTGTCTGTCTCTTCTCGTTGTAGCAAGTTTTTCTTCATCATAATTGATTCATCTTTCAGTTGAAAGGCCAGTTTCATTTAAAAACTCCTCATGAAGCCATGAATTAGATGCTTCTGAAAGTACGCAGCAATTCTTATCCTTTAGAGAACGTCGCATAAAGGCACAGACTTTAAAGCAAAATGAAAACTTTTCCTGTTTAATAATTTCTGGGGAAAAATTAGCACAAGTTCGAACAGCAAAAAATGGTGAACAAAGTGTCGAATAGCATGACACCTTAGGGCATGCAGCGGATATCCCGATAATAAGCGGCCGGCGAAGAACACAGTGAAGAGTATGCACTATATATAACACCATAAGAAATGACATAGACGAAAATAGCCTTCTGTTTCGAGTACCATGTGCACTGATCTATAAAGATAGGTTGTTGTGTCTTATTTTGTGACCGACGTTCGCCTTGCCTTAATTATAATGAAGATCTATATTTTCCACAAAAATTCATCTATGCTTTAAAGGCAAAGAATAGTAAAGAAGTTAAATGCACACCAAACTGTTCAGATTCTTTGTCATCGTCTATAGCCAATATCTGGGATTGGAATTCCTCCAAAAAACATTGCCCGATTTTCATAGTACTCATACGATTGGAAAATAGTTTCTAAAGCAGATGGCAACCATCTCCCTTTGCTGAGGCTAAAAGGTAGACAGTAAAAAGCCGAAAAATGGCGTAATTCGCTATCATATGCCGCTTTAAATTCACTGAAAAGTTGTTTGTTTTGGGAGAGCAATACGCAACAACGTAAACGCGAAATCCAGCCAGGAATGGCTGTTCGATGACGCATCCTTTTCTGGTTTTTATGGCTAAAATCTTTTGCCTTCTCCTGCCACTTCCACAGATTTCCACAACGTATTCGCACCATTGTGCTCATTTTACATACTTAGGCATACGAACAGCTCATACTTGACTCTTCCAAGATCAGATTTCGTATAATATTGCACAGCCTCATTGCCCATAGTTCGCAAAATGGATTTAAGAGTGCGGTGTCAGATGCTTCTCACATCATTCTGTTAGTCATAGCAACCTCGCGCTCATTATTTATGATATTTCAGGAGCTTGTACTCCTAATATGTTACTGCATATGCATCAAAGCATATCCACACGTCAGATTATGCCAAATAATGCATAATTCATCCAATACAAGATTCCGGTGTTCTGGATTTGCTGATAATCCGTTAGTTTTCACTATCGGCTAAAAAATGCCACCGACTTCTTCTTCCACATCTCTGCATTTACACAGCTTAGAGTTTCCGCCTTCTGCCAAAATTTATGAGCATAATCTAAGTACGGACGATCAGTGATATTATCAGAAGAAAATTATTTAATTTGCTTGTCAGCTGAATATGGTATCGGTTGTTTCACGCCCAACCTTTCGGCCTGTAGTTTTGTGAATTATAGTAATTATCAGTAATTATCGACTAAAACCGTACATTGGTCGTTTGGCAGGTCGACAATGGCAATCGAAATAGCCCAGTTTTACAGCTTCGGGTCATCCGACAGCGCCGTAAGATTCCAATACTTCTGAAACGCGTATATTTATAAAAAAAATGCACGGAAAAACTTTTTAAGAAGAGCATTATAAATGAACTAGTTGTCCGGCACGATTCAGTAAAGATTTGTTTATGCGTGCATCGAGGACCTCGCTCCAAATCAGTGAGGGTATTTCGTCAACTACCGGGAGACATGATAAAAACAAGCAGCAGCGTTTTGCTTGCTTTCTGTTTATGCGTTTTACGCGGCCAAATGAAAGCGGTCGCATTCGGCGGTACGGACCTCAACCCGGGAGTGATTGTGCGAGTAACCAGCAAGGGTCTATGGAAGTTTCAAAGAATGCTCCAGTCAGCGATAGTGGCCACGATGAAGGCGTCCAAGCCGCGCAGCGTGTTCGACGCAGTGCTCAACGACCGAATCGTCAATTTCACCGAAATTCACGTTGACACGATATCGACGCCAGTCAAAATGGACATCCG